AGCGGCGCTGCTGCGGCCTCTGTCGCCACCCGGTGGGGGCGCTCGTGTTTTGCCGCCGGCTCCAAGTACGCCTGCGCTCCCTCGCTGCTCTCCTGATAGGCTGCCGCCTCAGTGGCCCCTTTCCCGCTCACTGCTGAGGGGCTAATGGCGATGCCAGGGCGGGCTTGTGGTAGAGAGATCGAGCGTGGAGGGAGCTCCCGCTTCTGCTGGTGTGGGGAGAAGTGCTGCTTGTGGAGGCTTTCTGTGAGCTGCTGACTGATATTTCTGCGGTAGTACCTGGGCACTACTGGTTGCTGCTCCCTGCCAGTCCTCAGGGTGCTTTGCCAGGTGAGACAAGGGTGTGAGGGAAAAGCAGGTGGTCAGTCCTGTCAAACCGTGTTGGCCTTGTTCTGTTAAGCTGTACTGGGACTTCTGTGGAAATAAACATTCACAAGTTCTTCCTGATACGGTTTCTTGGAGAGCAGATGATGCCCTGGAAGAAACTAAAAGACCTTTTGGGAAATCTTTGTGAAGAAGTTCAGGAAAATGGAAATTGTTTTAAGATACACTCCTATCCTTGAAGGTTAGTTAGAGCTTGTACACCGTAAACAAACATGGAAAAGTTCACATAGATTGTGTATACTGTGTGCTTTATTTACACAACACACAGCTGCATAAGAAATTAAATTAAGCTGCACAACTTGATGCCATACTCACAGATGGGATGTACTGCCCTCAGTCCAGGCAGTTCACCAAGTATTGAAAGGAGGGCAGGTATTTTCATTGTGTCTAGAAGAATGACCAGAACCGTAGGAGTATACTAAACAAAAACTTCCTCATTGTAGCTATTAACCCTTTTTAGTCTCATATTAAGAGAAAAAGCAATACTTGCCTTTACTTGAAGAGCAGGTGTATCTGATCAGAGTTTAACTTCTCATAAGTATGCATTTTGAGGTAGCTATTTTCTTTAATAAGTTCTATCATTAGAAATAAAGATGAACTTGAATGCGTCTTTATATAGCAAGTATTGGTTAAGCATATGTGTGTTAAGCGAAGTATATTAGAGATTTTGGGGGGAAACAATGACAATACTTCCCCTTTAAGTCTTGTACCCATCTGTATTACCTCATTTGAGCAAAAGGAACTGTGGATTGTAGGTTTCCCCAAAGCAAACGATTTCCTGTTAGGTTGCAAAGTAATGTCATTCTGAAATTCCTGCCTAGGAAGCAAAACTTTGTCTCCTAGTCAAATTTACTAGGCTATCTCATTCACATTCTAATATAACGGTTTGTTTACCGAAGCTGTACCGCTCTCCTCCATCCCTTTAATTGATGATCTTATCTCAAGTATTGGAGACTGAGTCTGTAAAGATTTTTCCTTATTTTTTAAGCACAGCTGCTGACCACATCTGTCTGCAGTATTTGGAGTTGTTAAATACTTTTGAGCCCTCATCATTTTTTTTTTAATAAATAAATATCAGATTACTTTTCAGTTTGTGGCCTTGTATGTAATGCAGAATTAACTGAAATAATTTCTCAAATACTTGTCGAAAAAAATACCCTACTGATTATTGTAGCCAATCAATCAAACAAATCTGGTAACCTAGATCAAAATAATCACTGGGTGTGGCAGAGGTAAGTGCATTGATACCGGTAGTGGGCTAGCGGTCGACTTTCTGAACCAGAAGGGTGCAAGACTTAAAGGGTCAGCATACTCAGGGAAGAAAGAGAGAACACATTCAGAAACTTAATACAGCTTTCATTCCAGCCAGTAAAGTCTCTAAAAGAAATGAAATGGCATTCTCCAATTTCCTGAAGCCTTTGACATGTAATTGTTAATATACTTTTATGCAATTGAGAAGCAATAATGGCATGCAGCTGATAACGGAGGTCAAACTCTGTAACAGCACTTCGATGGTTAGGGCTTCTGTCTTCTAGTTTAGTCTGCTTTTTCAGTGTGCATAGCTTAACTGAAAGAATCTGTCACATAGCTTATTGCAAGCCATTATTCTTTATCCCTCTCTCTTTTAAAGGCTTTAGTATCTAAGCAAAATAGCCTAGAGATATACAGAGTTTTGTAGTAGTGTTGTTTCCATATTTTAGGGTGGTGGGTTTGTTTGGTGGGTTTGTTTTAGTTTACCTTTGCTTTTCAGTTTTACATCTCTTTGTAATTGAAAATTGAATTGTTTAAAATAGTATTCTTTTCATTTTGATATATGTGGTGTATCTACCCACTAAAAGATGATTATGTAAAAAATATCTACACTGGAAGTTGCATGCAGTCAATATCTGGGGGAGGAAATCCAAATTCATAAAGAAGCGTGATCTGTCCTACTCCTAACTCGAATACTGTTTGCGGCATGAGAGCATTTTGGCAGTAGAGGGAGCTGCGAGACACTGAAGACCACAAAAATATAGGCTAAGAGAGGATTCGGTTATAAAAATAACTGAAGGAAAAAATGTTTTTATTTTTTCTTCGTTTATGGCCAGCAAATGACAGTCAAGGAGAGGCAAGAAAACGGGAGTAAATTTTGTGAGGGATTTTAAAAACCCATTAAAATCATAATGTAAATGTACCCGTTCAGAAATTATATTTGAAATTGGACCTGTAACAGCATGTGAATAAGCACATGGCAGAAGATGATCTAGCTGTTTACCATCATCAGGGAATTCTGTGATGAAGTGCTGTGAGACTTTACAGATACAGCTGCATTCATATTTTGGGTTAGACCTCAGGGCTGTCCTCAGGCCCGCATGGTATTGTGACCTTTTAGCAAAGCCTTACATGAAACAGTCTTTTTCTAACTATGGCAGTAGAAGCATGGGTAAAAAAAGCTCAGAAGCCAAAAAAAAGAGCTCGGGGCATATTTGCTGAAGGACAAGAAGAGTGCCAGCAGCACACAGGTTTGTTCTGCTGATGTGTCAGAAAGGGTCCAGGGCTGGGAAGCAGGCTGCCCTGTAGACATGGAGGCAGGATTAGGTGACCATCGAGAGGCATAATTAGAGGGACGCAACAGATCTTAACTAGTGCTGACCATCGAGAGGCAGTTTTACTGCAAACCTTAGGAAATAGTGCAACTCAAGGGAGGTGAGGCTGGGTTGAAAATAGCACTTACAGACTGGACAATATGAGCAGAACATGGTGCATGTTTGTCACCCATCAGAAACACCAGTGTTTGAAGTCAAAGTAGTCTGAAGTCGTTCTTTATCTTGTTAAGATACCTTCAATATTTTTATTCATGTCCGGAAAGAAACTCACTCAGAGCCTGCTAATACTCTTTCTGAGGCAGAATGATTTGAGCCTCTAATAAATTGGAACAACTCAAAATCTGCATGTTTAAAAGCATGATCATATTTTTAGAAACAAATACAATTAATTTACTTTATGTGAGATATCTGTATATCATCAGTATGTGCTTTATATTATTCCTATTGATATAAGCAAGGTATCAATGGGATATCATTTAAGTGCTCCAAGTGAGTTGTATTATCACACCATATTTTATGTTTATTCCATATTTATATTTACATAGAATAGTTTTAGAGACTTGCGTGTTGTCAGGTTCTTTTTGGTTTTGCCATCCTAATTACACAATATTCAGTACACAGAGAAACGGTTTATCAATATAAATATTATGGTAAGGAAACTAAGTCACCATTTGAGAACCAGTGCTAGTTAAGTTCTATTAGAAAATAGTTTCTGCAAGCCTTTTACAGTATGGCACTCAGGTAGGACTTGGTACAAAAAACATTTTAGCATTTGTGTCAAATTGTAATCGTATTTTGTTTATTCAAGGCAAAACAGTAAACATAAGGAACTAGCCTGTTTTTTCAACAGGGCTAAGTAATTGCAGCTTAGGAGGTGCTGTGAGGGGATAAAAGGGGAAAAAAGCGGAGGATATGTAGTAAAATGGTCTTTTTTCATTGTTTTTTGATTCTGGTGCTGTTCTGGGTGAAGTCCTCAGCCCCTTTTGAAGAATCTCTTGGCTTCAGTTCCTTCATATACGTAGGTCTGTTAAGAAATTAAGAAGAAAATTCAGTGGCTGCTATTACAAAGTTTCATTTCACAGATGCTATTGAGAGATGGTCAATAGAGATGTAATTGCTTGTGACCGGTGGCCTGAGTGGGGCCTGCTAGCCCTTGTGCAGCCTCTGAGGAAAGGAACATAAGGAAAGCACCCTGTTGTCAAGAGGCATAAATTGTCTATGCAAACATTTGAACCACCACGGGACAGCTTCTGGGGGCTTCAGAAAAACCTGAAGTGTTGCAGTGCCGTATTCCCAATATACCACTACTTAACAAGCTTCATCTATGTGACTGCTTTTATTAGAAGTGTGAAGAAGCACTGAAGGGTTGGACTGTATGTTTTTGGTATCTCAAATCTCACACCTGTCCGTAAGGTGGTTTTTTTTTAATTTATTCTTTTAAGAAGCTTGTGACTTGCTAGCTGAGAGGATCTTAAAGCATTACAGTTCAGTTCAGTTTCTGGCTTCACTGCAGAGCTATGAAACATTTCCCTTTCCCTTTTGTCTCAGACTTACCCCTCTGTGCCATCATCCCCTGCCCCAACCCCAGACTTTGTTTTAAAAGGGCATTTATCAGCCATTGGTAGCGTTACCCTGTAGTAAGCTCCTGTGGTAAGGCTTTTACAGGGCAGACACCTGGAAAAGGGCCTTCAGTCAGAACACATCTATATGCGTGCGCGCTTTTTTCCCCCCCCCCCCCCCGTATATAACTTGTATTCACAGGCTTCAGAATGCATTGATAAGAGACAGTTCACATGGGTAGAAAAACGTAAAAATCACAGATTGCGAGTTTTATTTTAAAGTTTTAGATTTTGATAGATTACTCGAGAATTTTAACTAAAGATAAATGAGGTTATTTGGCTTGAAGAAAATATTTCCTACTTTCAGAACAGCTTTTAAATTTTTTTCAGTTCATTATATTGTAAAGTTGTATGTAAGTGACTGCTTAACTCACCTGAACAAGTTCGTCACCTACGATTTCTCTGTATGCAGTGAGTGCTTTTCCATTATCTTTTCTGGTAAATGTTCCTACAAGTTTATTTCCTTCCATGTTCCAAGAACCCTATAATGGGAAAAAAAACCCAAATATTTTGCAATAGATATGACAC